GCCGGGCAGCGCATCCCGCAGCTCCGTCCAGCAGTAGCCACGGGCATACAGGGCCTGGTCGCGGGTGAAGTTGTGCGGGGTGTAACAGTAAATGGGCTCCTCTGGGGGCAGAGAGGAGACATGGGCTGGGGCGAGGGCGCGGTTGGGCCTGGTTGCTTGGCTGCTTGAGCCTCCCCGGGCATGACTCATCAGACTCCCCAGCCCACCCTCCGTCCCCATTCCACCTGCCCGTGCCGGGACTGCAATCCCTCAGGACACCCCTCCTCCCAGCTATTCGCCTCCCCGTCCTGACCGTCGGTGTCGGGGTCTGGTCCTGGGCTTGCTGCAGCATGGGCCGGTGTGCTGGCCCCAGAACCGACCTGCACTATGCACCTTCGCTCCCTCTCCCAACCATCCAGAGGCTTCATGCATAGAAAGGGAAACCGAGTCCCAGAGGCCCAAGAAGGCCACGCCGCTCAGCCATGGCCTCTGCCACAGTGTGCCTGGGCCAGAGGTGGGTTCCAGCCACTGCACTGCCTGGGACTCCAGGACGTCCCTCCTAGCCAGGGCAGTCAGGTGGCACGACTTCCAAGAAAGTCAGTATGTGTGACCCTCTGTCCTGGGGAGGGGTGAGCTGGGAGCCTGGGTATGGGGCAGCGCCAGGGACACTCACTACTGGGGCCATGACAACAGCTGCCAACGCTGCCCGGAGGGACTCTCCACACCTCAGGGAGTGTGGCAGTCAGGGACTTGGCGTCTCCCTGCAGGGACCTGTCTGTGGAGGGTGGCAGGGCTGGCTCCACGGCAGCAGAACCTGGGACTGCACCCCGGCCACCTCGGCCCGTGGCTGGGGCCTCACATTTAGCACTTCCCAGACGCAGCACTAGGTCTGCTTGGAGCCCCAGGGCCCCACACCGACAGGGTCAGTAGCACGTACCCCTCACCTCACCCTGACTTCCTTCCACCTGGGGCAGGGTCTGCTCAGAGCCAAGCCAGCAAGCACAGGGCCGAGCAGGCCCCTGGCCAGCATGAAAGGGAGGTGTCTGCCACGCCTCCAGTGGCTGCACTTAGAAAACGGACCTTCGGAGGCCAGCTCTGTAGCGTTTGAACACAGGGCTTGGGGAGCCAACGCCCACACGGCCAGCCACTGCCCCAGTCCCTGCCTCCAGAGGCCCGAGAAGCACACTGGACTCCCGTGTCCATGACCCTGTGGGGCAGAGACGTGGGGGAAGGAGTGCAGGGTGACGCTCCATGGGAGGTGCTCTCTCCCTCCCGCTCTCATTCTTGGGAGGACCAGTGCCCTCGGCTGATGCCGTGTGCGCCGTGGTGCGGGCGAGGGGCGTCATGGAGAGCCCTGGGCTCAGGGAGCCTCCCAGCCAGCTCCACCTCAGTGAGGAGCCCTGCTAGCCTCGGCACCACGGTCCTGGCCTCTCATTGCCACTGCCCACAGTGCAGCCCAGAGGAGGCTGGCAGGGCTCAGGTGGGCCTCAGGACCCCATGTGAAGGTGCTGAGGAGCCAGGGAGGCCTGGGAGGCATGGACAGGCCGGGGCTGCTGCTGTGTGCATGGGCAAGATGCCCAGCCTGCACCTGTGGGCCCCGGGGATCAGTGTCCAGGCCTGCTGGGGGCTGGGCTGGGGAAAGCAAGGCGGAGGGCACGGGGATCAACTCTTGCTGAGAAATGGCATTTTTGGTTAAAATATTCATTAAATTTTATTTTTTATTATTACTTTTTAATCTGACCAGAGAGAGACACAGAGAGAGAGAGAGCAAGTAAGACA